ATTCGACATTTCTAGTGCTGCTTTTGTATTTTTTCACCAGAAAATTATGCAAAAAAGTTACATCACTGACTATATTTTAAAGTTAACAACTATTTCTTGCAAGAAATACACTGATTAAGCAAATTTACTCTCTCTCAAATTCGAAATTAAAAGCTTACAAATGTAATCCACTGGGAGCCCAAACATTACAAGGATGGCAAAAGTAAAAGCAATAATGTTGCATTTGTAAGAGCAACATCTGTAACAGTAATTACTTTTGTACCTGTAGCCGTTGTCGGCGTAGTTTCCCCAAGATATATAGCTTATCGATACGGTACTCAATACAGCGAGTTACGGTAAAAACCTACCAGTACTGAAAAGAAAAGCAATAATATACCAAAAACGTTATGGTAAAATCGCTCGACAGTTAGCATTAGCAGCCGTGGTTGAAGTGAGTGAGAGCCGCTTTCCGAAAGTTTCTCGGTTCTACACGAAAGGGCGCTCATCGCAATTACTGAAACTACTGCTACAAGAAAGACTGCTGCAAAAACAATTTGTACATTCAACTGTTAACTGATGATACAGATCAAACGATTGAGGCGAGTCCAAAGTTTCAAAATAGCCAGACCAACTTGCTCCCAGTAATTCTAACAAAAGATAATCATCGCCAAAAAAGCTTGTTTTGTAAGAAGCCCAGAAGCGATAGAAGAGTACCCTACAGCAGGCGAGACGGTGGCTGCTCACTACTCGCCTATAATGCCTGTAATTGACCAAAACTTCAGAAAGTGCCACACTTCTGATTTCTTTGGACTAAGTGAAATTAGGAGAGATACTGCAACAATTCACGAGGGGTGGCACTCTAATGGACAGCTAAACAACAATTTGCAAATCAAGGAAGATCGCAAGATGGAGGAGCGTCGACCTGCGTTCATGGCGCGTCCACACAGAGGACAGATCCGAGGTAGGGTAAAGAATGCATCTTAGATCACACGCTTTAGGTTAATATGATCATAAAAGAGAAAAAGCTTGACAAACATGAAGAAAGATAGCCTCACATTCTCTGTTTTCCCGTTACCGTGAACGACTCTTGTGTAAATTTCCACGTCGTGAGCATTTCTAATTTCTGATTTTGTTTCCGAGATACTGAAACTATCTACTCTGTTTCAGCTGCATTCAATAATTTGCGGCGCAAAATGAAAGGCCTTTCTCAAGAAGTTTTGATAAGATTTTGACGTTAAACCCAATTCTTAGCATACAGCAACGAACAAAATAGAGCAAAAACTTGCAAGTTAAAAGTCAGCATGTGAGGAAGTGATACAGACCACATCGGCGAACAATTAACTAAGACAAACATACATTCTTAATTATTACTTCTTTCTCCTCTCCTAAACTTTGTCTGCTGATTCAGTCCAAAAAAAATGAATAGGAGAGAAAACAAACATTACTGGCGGAGACTAACGGCACCATCCTTTTGCTTTTAATCTGAACATAGGATCTCTTAGCAGTCGTAAACGGATATGACATTTTTAATAGCTTGTATTCACTGCATTAATGCAGCACTCCAAATATGACCGACAAAGTACCACGCTGCATAATCTCTGCCTATGAATCAGTCAAAATTCTCATTTTCCATGTCGATTAGTCAACATTTTCACAGACCTAGCAGAAAGTAATATAAACCATTGTCCAAAAAGAAAGTGGGAGGCTTGGTCTCAACCTTCCCTTCCATGTTCCAGTTTCATTTACCAACACTTGATCTGATCAAGAGCAAAAAGCTTACGTGTAGCCTTGATTCTCTCTCGAACACAAGAATAATTAAAGACTTTCATTGCTTCCTTTCTGCAACTACATGGAAACGGGCACGAATGAGTTCCCCATCGAACATCATCGTGATTCAGTCTAACATTTCAGGATGAACTTCGCCCTGCGCAACAGCTTTTTCACTTTTCAGCGATTTAACCAATGCGGTCACGCCGGTCACAATGAAACAACCCGCCCTTTGAAACTGCACTTTCATGCCTATCTCCAGGACTTCCGCAACTGAATTTAAAATATCTTTATACTTCCGAGCTGAGTCGCTG